TGTGAACCTCCATGCGCAGATTTCGTGGCAGGCACCGCACTGTGTGAACCTCCATGCGCAGATTTCGTGGCAGGCACAGCACTGTGTGAACCTCGAGGTGCAGATTTCCTAGCAGGCGCAGCGCTTTGTGAACCTCCATGTGCAGATTTCGTGGCAGGCGCAGCACTTTGTGAACCTCCATGCGCAGATTTTGTGGCAGGCACAGCACTTTGTGAACCTCCATGCGCAGATTTCGTGCCAGGCACAGCACTCTGTGAACCTCCATGTGCAGATTTCGTGGCAGGCACAGCAGAGCTGGAAGCTGAGAACTGGTGACTTTGTTTTACAACTTTAGTATGCGGAGCAATCTGTGGAGCTGGAAGCTGAGAACTGGCGACTTTGTAGTGCAACTTTAGTACGCGGAGCAATCTGGGGAGCTGGAAGCTGACAACTGGCGACTTGAGCAATCTGTGGAGCTGGAAGCTGAGAACTGGAGACTTTGTAGCGCAACTTTAGTGCGCGGAGTATCTGGGGAGCTGGAAGATGAACTGGCGACTTTGTAGCACAACTTTTTAGTACGCGGAGTATCTGGGGAGCTGGAAGATGAGAACTGGCGACTTTGTTTTACAACTTTAGTACGCGGAGCAGTCTGTGGAGCTGGAAGCTGAGAACTGGCGACTTTGTAGTACAACTTTAGTACGCGGAGTATCTGTGGAGCTGGAAGCTGAGAACTGGCGACTTTGTAGCAAAACTCTAGTACGCGGAGCAAGCCGTGGAGCTGGAAGCTGAGAACTGGCGACTTTGTAGTACAACTTTAGTACGCGGCTGAGTCATCTCTATTCAATATTTTGCAAAAAATATATGAACAACGTTTTTTCCTGCGAGACAGTTGACGGTGGTTGCTTCGCTTTCGCTCCATTGGTCGGTTCCAACTTGTTTTGCCAAAGAACATCGCAGCTCGGCGAATCAGCCTGCCACATGCCCATTTCCTATAGGTTTATTCTTTTGGAAACTTCCGCCGCCGGCTTGCCCGGGAACTACTTGTAAGCTGCTCTGTCAAGTGTGAAGCAAAAGATTACACCGGCGCAAGCCCTACAAATTACATTTGATGAGAAAACAACTGGATAACTGGATCTCAAATGAAAAAACACGCTTTTCAACGTGACACCTAGTTGCGATCTGGGTCTGAGGATTCCAGGGCTCCAGAAAAGGTGTGATCAAAGCCTGTTTCCAGGTTTCCATATGGAAAGTTGCGATCAGGGCTTGTTTTGTGGGCTCCAGGCAAAAAGTTTTGATCAAAATCCCAAAGTTCCAAGTTTCCAGGCTTGCGGGCAAAGGGCTGGATCAGGGTCTGGCTTCAAGAGGAGTTATCCCCCCGACCGCGCAAATGGTGAGAGGTGGAAAAACGACGCGCGTTTTTTCCAGCAGCTTTGCCAAAAGTGAATCAAAACTAAAGGAGGATGCGGCGCTGGCCTAGTTGAACCTGGGTTTGTACCAGCTTGGGCACAGAACTCTGGTGCCATTTCGGAGTGTTGTCATTGTGCCATTTCGGAGTGTTGTCATTGGAGGCCTTGGCAAGCAGGTCGGGGGATCCAACTGGCAGGATGTGCAGTCGGGAATGGATGGGCCCGATGGGCCGGCTTGAGTGTGCGATACCATTGCAAAAAGGTGTTCTAGTGCTCCGAAACCGACTCTGCCATAGACATCTAGCAGCAGCACTCTGCGGCGGCACCAGCAACCGCAGCAGCAGCAGCAGCAGCAGCAGCAGCACCCTGCAGCGGCACCAGCGCCAAGGCTCCAAAGCACACACACGCACTTCTTCCCATACTTGAAGTAAGAACCCCAGTAGCTCTCAGTGTCTGAAAAATATTGGCCACAAACATGAGGCATGCAAATGCTCCTCCAGCACCTGTCGCATACACGCAAACCCCCCTGAAAAGACCATGGGCGATCAGCACCGCATGCCAACAACACAAAAACTACAGAGAACACACCGCAAAAACGTATCCCCTTCTTCTCCTGTTCTCCGAGATACTGAACTCCACGGACCAAAGCGGTACCCATACGCCCACTAAAGAAAGGATCTTCGCCATAGCTCTCTTGCGCTCGACCCCAGTTTAACCACGGCAAAATGTTGATCGTGGGCAAGAGCGCGGCGTGGATGTCAAGTTGCTCTGCAATCTCGCCTTGCGCACTCTTGGAGCCAACAGCCCGCTTGAAAGTTATTCCCCTTGTGACCGTCTTGCTGTCAACCCCTACTTCAAAAGCCGCAAAAACACGAATCGCTTCCAAAGCTTCCCACCCAAGAATCTCACCTATAGCTTGGCCGATCGATTCTTCCAGCCTCAAATCTGACGCAAACCATGTGAGAAATCGGTGGGAAATCATAGCCACACGCATACATGCACACGCTTAGATGCATCAATGCGCAGATCTGAGAAAGGCGAGCTGCATTGGAAATAGAAAGAGCATCAAAAAGGACTACATTGTGGTTGTTAGTTTCGTGGCCATATTGCAATTGGAACGGGAACAAGCATCACAATGAATGGCCGAGGGCGCGATGCGGTGTTTGCGGCAAAGGGAAGGTGGCAGATGGTCGGGAGCCGATGAATTATATATTCACAAAGTTACGCGTCTCACAACGTGGAGCGTCTCCTAGTTCCCGATCAATTGGCCTCAGTTTGTCTAAGAGTTCTTCGCGTCGCAGTTGAACTCCTTGCCTTTCAAATGCCAGGGACAACATGCACACATACTGACAAAGGGTGGTTGGGCATTTGAATCCGCCGTATCCGAAAAAGTACCCGAAACAGCCTTTAGACAAAACAGCAAGGGAGATACAAAATTGCTTCGAACGTCGAAGGTCATGAACAATGCAGCCAATGAGCAGTCGGAGCCGGCAGGCACAAGTTCACACGCCATATGAAACATCCCACAGGTCTGCCGTGGCTTGGTAACATGGAGGACATGGCAACATCTGAATCTGAAGGCCTTGTGGCAACAAGCGAAACGGTAGAATCCTACAACTATCAACCTGAGCTTTCGGCTGCAGGTGGATGAATCCACCCACACATGCACCACAGCAAAAGGCCAGGAGAACTAGCAAGAATAGCAACGGCCGACCGACTACAAGCGGACGCCCTAAGGCACTTCATGCTCACAAAAGGCACATCGCAGCATGGCCACGCAATTTTCAGAAAGGCACATTTGCTATCACAAAAGGCGCATCACTTTTGAGGAACACCATGGCCACGCATTACGCACCACGAGTCCCAAAACCTCAACAACAGCTGCCCGAAGCACCATTTACATTGCAGGGAAGCATCGTCAGAGCATTGGCGCGATGTTGTTCAGGCATGGAACCCTCATGGCCACGCCATCACAGCTGCATCTTACTTGAGACCTTTTCACATTACTTGACCATCTTTGGCGCAGCAGCAAAACCAAAAGCAAGTTTGGGGTAACAAAAGGCACATCAATTTTGAAGAACCCCATGGCCACACATCATGCACAACGAATCCCAAAACCTAACAAACACATTTGCCCGAAGCGCCCTTTACATTGCGGGGGAGCGTATTCAAAGCGTCGGCGCGATGTTTTCAGGCATCGAACCCCATCACAGCTGCGTCGTACATTTGGGTATTGTCGTTGTTTACTGGTTTTTGGTAACCTGCGCGAATCCCCATGGCCACACACGATTGACATGGATATGGGCAGACTACAAACATGGGCGGGATATCAAAACACCCATGGCCACGCACGATGGACATGAATATAGTAAAACTAAAACATGTGGCCGGGATAGCTAACCGCCATGGCCACGCAACATTGGCGCGCCTTTTTGCTACGTGATACGCCTTAGGGCAGGGACCCAGTACAAGTAGGCTGCATTTGTTACAGAGCGATATCTGCGGTTAAGCTCCACTGCACGCGGTCGAGTTGTAATTTTCTTGAGACATTGGTTCTGCGCCGGGTGGTGGGATTTCGTCTTTGGCAGGCGGGATAACGTCAAACAACCGAACGCCAAATCTTTTTAGAGTGGGCAGTTGAGTTTGCCTTGCCCCTGCCAGTGGGCGTGAATTGCATGCGTTGTGACATGTCAGCTTTCATTTGGCACCAAAAACAAGAAAAACAACATCAGTCTGAGTCAAGTCACATCTGCCTATTTTTTGAAATGGAAACGTATTGTGAGATTGCAGAGCGAGGTTATAGACCCGCAACTGTGATTCTACCCAAACAAGGGGCACAGTTGAAAGAGACGCCCAAGGACGTGCGGTGGGTGATTCTATCGTATTGTGTATGTATGTATGTATGTGTGTATGTATGTGTGTATGTATGTATGTATGTATGCATGGATGTATGTATGTATGTATCTATTTTTCTCCTAGAGTGTTTTTTGCGTCTGTTGAACGAGGGCCCTTTGGCCACGTCGGCGCGGCCGCAGCTTGCCAGCAGCAGAGGTGGTACTGTTAGAAGTAGTCCACCTGGTAGTCCTCCACGTTGGGGTCTTCTTCGACCGTTTCTTCTTCAGCTGCTTCTTGCTGGCTGGGTGTCATGGCCGGTGCAGCTGGCTGGGAGCTCAAGCTCTCTTCAGAGAAGCGGAGCTTCTTGGAGCTGGAGGTGAGTAGCCTTCGGCTGGCATGGTGAGCTGCTTTGGCGTGGTGGGCGCCGGCTGGGTGTCATGGGCAGTTGTCGCCTGGCTTCCTTTGGCTTGAGTGCCAAAAAGCTGAGGCAATTGGGTCTGTCCCTTGCATTCATTGCAGAGCCCTTTGGTCAAAATGATACGGTCCGCTTCATCAAGATGATTGTGGAGTCCACAGTTGCGGCATTTAATGCCCTTGCCTTTCTGCCACAGGCTGTGGGTGGAATGAGCGCCGTGGGGCTTAGTGAACACCTCATCAATGCAGCGGCTTTGGATGAAGCCGTTGAACAGGTCCTCATTGGCTCTCTTGTGGACACTGCAGCCACACTTGTCACATGTGAGATATCCTTTGATCTCCTGGAGCCAATGATGCTCTGGCTTGGGCGGTGTGTTCTGTTGTTGGTCAAGTAGCTGACGGATGACCTGTGCTCTGGTGAGCTTTTTGGGCATTGGCTTGCGTGGACTGTGCTGCTCGAGCTGGTGCGCTTCGATGCTGAGCTGGGGGCAATCCTGGCGCAGTCTTTCCTCGATGACTGGCACAGTCAGGGCCTGGTGTACCCGGATTCCACAAGCCCCACATTGAAAGCCATTACGGTGTGATTGCTGCGGCGATGTCCACGGTTGGTGGCACTTGGAAACAAGTTGTTTCTGGTATTGCTTGGTTTGCTTGCCAAGATGTCGTGGTGCTTTTTGATGGATGTAGTGGTCTTTGTTGGCATAGATCTTGGCCAGCCTTGCCACTGCGTGTTTGTAGATGTCCAGGCGGTCATCATCTAGCACCTTCTGCCATTCCGTTTGTTTTCGGTCATGCATGCCGTTGGCCCTCTCCCAAGCAACTAAAGCTGCATCACGTTGTCGTCTTCTGAGCTGTGGTTCATTTCCAGGGGCCTCTGGTGTGCGTGTGTTCCGGATAGATGGAGGACTGTCACCCTTTGCAAGTCGTGTTCGGTGATGTGCTCGAAGAGATCCTGGTAGGGCTGCCTTTGTCGGGGCTGTGTCCAAACTTCCCAAACATGTATGTATGTATGTATGTAGAAAGGCGATCGTCTGAAAAATCGAAAACTTTAGGTGTTTCAGAAGTTGAGGAGTCTCCATCCATGTGGAGAAGTCGTTTCTCCTCACCTGTCTCCAGCTATGTTTTCCCGAAAAGTCCAAACGTCCAGCTCTTCTTGGAAGTCAAAAAATTGACAAGTTTTTCTCAAAGAGTCAAAATGAAAACTTCAGGCCAGCAGTGAAAACGGAAGGTGCGCCACTGTGTAATAAGAATCAACAATGCCGAACCGTAACGGCCAACCTACCGCTACCTTGTCTTATCTTAACATGAGGCGAAATGGGTGTTCAAGTGAAATATCACTGTGAAGTATCAAGCGAAATGAAGCAAAAACATACTCAGTTCGTCCCCTCGCGCCTCTGAGGAGGGCGCGGTTCTTGTGGTGGCGAGGGTCATCCTCTGTCCAAAACTGTTTGAGCTTTCTTTTTCGGCCGTGGTTGACTTGGTTTAGTTTGTTTTTGGGGTTTGGTTGACTTGGTTTGGCTTGCAATAGCTGGAGGGGTTGCGGGGAGGGCACAGCGTCTCCCCCGAAGAGAAACCAAGCGCCAACCCGCTTAGCCACCGAAAAATTACAAACTGCGAACACAAAGAGATGTGGTCAAAGCCTAGCCGCCTAGCCATCGAAATCCACGAGAACCACCAAAAGCACTACATTAAGGGCCAACAAAACATAGCCACACAAGCCACCAAAGGCCAAAAGCCGCAGAAGCCACCGAAGACAAAAGCCGCAAAAGCAACAGGTAGAACCAAAAACAATAGAAATAAACATAAAATTAAATTCCTTCGTCCAATGTCCTCCAAAAAGTTGAAAACAATCAAGTTTCCTCGTTTTCGCGCTGATAGTGCGCTAGCTGCAGGTAAACCACTGATTTGAAAAGGACATCGGGTTTTGAGGTCCCCCAATCCAAGGACAAATCAACGTAATCAACTTGGCACACAGAAAATTGACTGTCCTCGAAAAGATAAAGAGTGTCTTTAGCGGGTCATCAACGGTTGCGGGTTTTTAGCGGTATACTTTATTGTGTTTCAGTTGGTTTTCTTTTTGAGGCATCAGTCTTCTGTAGCTTTAAAGAGTTTCAATTAGTTTCAACCAATTGTTTTTGTTGTATATTTTGAGAGCTGGGGGCTGTGGTAGTACAATTTTTTAGTGTTTCTCATATGATTCTACCTCACTACAGTTTTGCAATAGTACAAATCTATCTACCATATCTTCTTTCAGTGATATTGTACAAAACCATATGACAAACATTTTTATGCTATTTTGATGTTCTTGGTTTCAGTAAAATTATAGTGCAGGGCGCTGTGGGTGTGCACCTTTTTCTTGTTTCTCATATGTTTCTACTTCATTACAAATTTTGCAATGATATAAATGTATCTACCATATCTTCTTTCATTGATATTATACAATACCTGTTGTTATATTTTACAATAGTCTATCACAGGACCTATATGACAATAGAACTTATGAAACGTTGATGCACTATCTTTCCAATAGATTTAGAGCGCAGGGCGCTGTGAGTGTGCACCGGTTTCTTGTTTCTTAAATGCTTCTACCTTGTGTCATGTGATAGAAATGTAAATGAAGCAGCTCAACTGGGCTCAACTGGTGAGTAATTATGCTTTGCAGTTTTATCTTTAGTATATGTTTGTTTTA